TTTTGACATTACACTCAGATCCTGGAGGCACTGGAAGCTCATTCAACCCATGAAGTGCAGTAGATGCTCTAGGCTGAAAGTATGTTCTGGGCACCACACTTGACATCCTCTCCAGGAACGCTCTTTGTAGAATAGAAAGACAGCGCTCTTAACAGGGAGCTCCAGGGAGCTGCTTCTGCTGCTTCTACTAAATTTGGTCAGCTGTCAAAGGAGCACTGAATAAGCAGAATACTGGCTGTAAATTTCTGCAGCTCTTATGCACTTCCTGTAAACAAAAAGTAGACCATGTTCTGCATACAGTCCTTGCTACATTGGCAGACCTTTCTGCAATCATAATACATCAACCCTGAGGCTCTACAGCATCTTGCTTTTTCGGAAATCCAAAAAATGTTTTATCCAGCCTGAAAAGTATTTACCCAGACACCCGAGCCCTGATGCCACAATTGGTCACTTAAGGGAATGCAGTTTGAGATTGATAGTCCAGGAATACAGTACCTTATTAGTTTGAAAGAGTTCTAGTCGCCAGAGCCGGATGAACTGGAACCAAGAGTACTGAAGGAACTGGCTGAAGGACTCTTAACAACCATTGTCTATTGTTTTCTTGAAATCATGGAAGATGAGTGAAGTGCCAGATGACTGGAGGAGGGCTAGTGTTGTCCCACCTTCAAAAAAGGCAAAAAGGAAGAACCTGGGAACTACAGTACAGACCAGCCCGCCTGACATCAAGCCCACAGAAAGTTCAGCAGATTATAAAGGAATCACTCCGTAAGCAACTTGAAAGTAATGCAATTATAACTAACAGCCAACATGGTTTTGTCAAGAAAATATCCTGCCAGACTAATCTTCTCATTTTTAGTTCAAGTAACCTTCCTGGTAGGCAGAAGGAATGCTGTACACGTAAGATAGTTTGACTTCAACAAAACTTTTGAAAAACTGCCCCATGTTATTCTGATTAGCAAACTAACTGGGTGTGGGCTTGATAGAACAATTGTCAGGTGGATACATAGTTGGCTAGAGAATCGTACTCAGATGGTGCCTATGAATGGCTCCTTCTCAAACTGGAAGGTAACAAATGGGGTATCACAAGGCTTCGTCCTGGCCCCAGTGCTCTTGTACATTTTTATTAATGACTTAGATGAGAGAGTGCAGGAAATGCTTATAAAATTTGCAGATGACACAAAATTGGGTGGAATAGCTAATAATCTGGAAGACAGAAAAAAATTCAAAAAGATTTTGATAGGCTTGAGCACTGGACTGAAAACAACAGAATGAAATTTAACAAGTGCAAAGGTCTAAACCTAGGAGAAAAAAACCTAAATGCACAGTTATAAGATGGAGGAGATTTGGGTCACTAATACTACATATAAGAAGCCTTTTGGAATTCTTGTAGATTACAAGCTAAATATGAGCCAACAGTGTGATGTAGCTGCAAAAAGGCAAACACTGCGTTAGGCTGCATTAACAGAAAGGGCATGGTAGCGCTGCAGGTTAAACTGCAGACACCTCTGTGCTGCAAGGTCAGAAGACCAGCAGTCGTAAAATTGAATCCACGCGACGGAGTGAGCTCCAGTTGCTTGTCCCTGCTCCTGCCAACCTAGTAGTTTGAAAGCATGCAAATAAAAGTAGATAAATAAGTACCACCATGGTGAGAAGGTCACGGCGTTCCGTGTCTAAGTCGCGTTGGCCACGTGACCACAGAAACTGTCTACGGACAAAATGCTGGCTCTACGGCTTGGAGACGGGGATGAGCACCGTGCCCTAGAGTCGGACACGACGGGACTAAATGTCAAGGGGAACCTTTACCTTTACCTAACAGAAGGATATTCTCCAAATTCTGTGAAGTATTAGTTCCCTTCTATTTGACAGTGGTTAGGCCTCATCTGGAGTACTGTGTCCAATTCTGGACACCACACTTCAAGAAGGATGCTGGCAAATTGAAGCAAGTTCAGAGGAGGGGAACAAGGGTGACCAGGGGACTGGAAACCAAGCCCAATGAATTGCTGAAAGAACTGGGTGTGAAAAGAAGACTGAGAAGAGATATTGATGACACTCTTCAGATACAGTACTTAAAAGGTTGCCATCCAGAGGAGCAAGATCTCTCCTCGATCATCCCAGAGAGAGGACACATAATAATGGGCCCAACCAGCTTTTGGATGAATAGAGGGAAAAACTATTAGAGCAATACAACAGAACCAAATACCTCAGGAGGCGATGAGTGTTCCATTGCTGGAGGCATTCAGGAGAAAATCAGACAACCATCTGTCAGATATACTTTTAGATTCCTATATAGCTATCTACAGTCCTGCTTCCCTAAAGCAACAAAATCCATTACTTTTTAAACTTGAGAATTAATGTTCTAGAGCAGAGATACATAACATCTCACACTTGCAGGCAAGACTCTCCCCAACTCAATCTAGCTTTGAACAGATAAGAGAATTAGGGTCAGCATCTTTTGATCTTATCAAAACTCATCAACATTATTACATTATGTCTATTCTATTTTGTTTTGTTAGCCACCCAATGTAAATAGATAGATAGATAGATAGATAGATAGATAGATAGACAGACAGACAGAAAGAGAGAAAGAGAGAGAGAGAGAGAGAAAGAAAAGGAAAGAAAAGAAAAGAAAAGGAAAGAAAAGAAAAGGAAAGAAAGAAGGAAAGAAAAGAAGGAAAGAAAGAAAGAAGGAAAGAAGGAAAGAAAGAAAGAAAGAAAGAAAGAAAGAAAGAAAGAAAGAAAGAAGAAAGAAAGAAAGAAAGAAAGAAAGAAAGAAAGAAAGAAAGAAAGAAAGAAAGAAAGAAAGAAAGAAAGAAAGAAAGAAAGAAAGACAGGCAGGCAGGCAGGCAGGCAGCCAGCAGCATGGTTGATTGTACTGGCTGGGCAGCTGGGGCACTGTCCCACATATCATCCAAATCAGTGGGTAGGGGTTAGTAAGGCAAGTAGTGCAGAGGAGAAGTTAGGGTAGAAAACCAGATGTAGCTGGCTCTACCTCTGGCAACTCCACTAGCCCAGAGGATATTAATTGGTCCTGGAACCCATGGGTCTCCTAGAGATTAACATGTGCCTGCTGACCAATCATAGTTTGAAATGATGCACTGCCATCCTAACACTAGGGTAGGGATTGTTCAAACTTGTTAGGTTTACACACTGTAATCTTAGTGAACCGCTTTTGAACACACACTGAGATTCAACAGAGAGAGCCAGGAACAGAAGAAATTTGCTTAGAATTAAAGAAAGCCTTATGTCTGAGCATGTTCTGAGCCCAGAGGTTCATTTTTAGCTGAGCATACTTTTTTTTACACAAACGTCTGTTCCTGTTTATGTTAATCAAGAGCCACTCTTAGGGTCTAAGGGTACACTGAGCCAAAGGCCTGGGGACATGTGGACTACAGGAGCCTCATGTAGATGGGAAAAGTCTTAATGTTGGAAGTAAAAGAGTCAAACACCCTGGCCAATCTATAATCCTGGAAACCACCCAATAAAATAAAATCTGCTTTCTGCTCACCCATTTAGAGAACGAAGCAGGTTTGATTATAGTCACAAATTTTGGCAACAATTATTGGGCAGAAGATCAAAATTTGTGCACCCTTGTACTCATGGCATCTGGAAAATACAGCACTAAAACCAGCAGCTGACTTCAACATTCCTACCCTTACCCCCTGTTTTATTTACCAATAAGTGAAGAGTCCCCTTGGTGCCGTTTGAAAAAAAATCTATTTGCTGAATGGTTTGGAAAAGTGCCATATTTACTCAATCAGCTCTCATTTGGCTCATTAAAAGGTGGTTATAACATCAGAGCGTAGGCAGCCTTCACTTTGCACCCTGGAGTGCAGCAGCACGCAGGTTGGTAATAAAGGCAAGGTTAATCACGCCTGACAGTGCTCACACCGATTTTTATGCAAGGAGCCTCTGAGTACTCTACAATGATGAATTCATTGAGCCTACTTGCTGTGGACAGATAATGAATTCCTTCAATACTTGGAAACAATGTGGTGATGCAGCCCCACCACTATCCCTCCTCTTAATGTATTGGTTATGAATAGATCCTATTATTTCTTCACTAGTCTCTTGCATAAACTCTCCTCTCTCCTTTGCCTGTCACTCACGCAAATGCTAGGGCTGGACTTCCTCTGGTACAGTATCTCAAATGTGCCTACTTATTATTTCGAAGGGCTGTGAGCATCCCAAGTCAGTCTGATCTCAACAGCTCCAGGCAGGTATTATGAAAAACAAAGATGGGCATCCATTCCATTCCCAAGGATCAACACCACTTCTAAGAACTCCACATTTCCCACAACCCTAAGTACTAGAAGCCTCATTTTATTTTAGTCTGACGACTGAGTGGGTCTCAGAAGGTCAAGGTTTTGGTTTGGCTTTTTTGTCAAATAATTCAATGCCTTGGTTTGGTGTGGGTGCAAAACTCCACAGTCTTGCTTGCGAAAAAATGCATGCGGCATAAAAGAAAATTATAACAGGTAATATTGGAGAATTATGACTCACATGGCAGCACTCCCGTTTCAGCCTTTGAACCATGCCAGTGGACTTTACTATAAAGCTTAGAGCTTCCATAAAAATCCTCCCAGTTTTAAGAACTGGGGCCTTCTATCTTTTTTCATATCATTCAGGATATGAATTAACTTTGAATCTGCTCAATTTGCACAGTGATTGCTAAACAAGATAAAATTCTGGACAAGCTGAATCTCTCAACTCCATTTCCAGATGGTAAGACCAGAAGGATCGCAAAAGGTTTTAGCTGGAGGCAGCCAGAAACTTCAAAACACCCTGTAATCCTCCTGGTTGACAGGGAAGGTTAAGCTCTTTGGAAGCTGGTTTTGACCACTGGAATCTCTCTCCCACCACGGCAAGCCACTTCTCTTTATACATCGCTCAAGCAGTCTAATGAAAGCAACTGCTTTCCTTATCACCCAAGTAATCCATCTTTTTTTCCCTCTTCAGCACACCAAGGGAAAAGGCAGCCTGCTAAAGGAATCCACTCTTCACACTGTAGAGATATAGATATATTTTGTGTTGCATATTTAAGACAACTTTACATAATGCTTCTGACACAAAAGCTTTTCTCACTTTTTTGTGTGTGTGTGTGTTTTTTTGGGGGGGAAGAGGTTTCAGCTCAAGTTCTGCCTGCTTCCTCGGCTCAGAACAGATGGAAGGAGTCCCTCTTCCAGACTAAGAGGTGCTGCTGTCCCCATTTCCCCTGACCCCTGGAAATCCAAGCAGAATTTACTGAGCAGAGACAGGTCAGAATTGGTCCTAATCAATGACGCCATTGGTCTGGCCAATGTTCTTAGGTTTGTTTGTTTTGGATGGCGGTGCTTAGCTCCAGCACAGCTCTCAAAACTCCAAAGAACTTCCAGAACTGGAGATGGTGGGCAAACCGCATGTTTAATTCAGGGAAGAAATGACAGCCAGGCTTTGAAAAAAAATGAGGGAAGCCTGCTCTCTTGAAAGGCTCAGAGCGAATCCTGAGATCAGAACATTCTTAAAATTCAGCAGAGACATCAGACCTCTGAACCTCAGGATCCAATTGAAATGGAGGAGGACGTAACCACTTCCTGAAAAACTTTTCAGAAGTAGCCACGGCTTCTCCCTATGTCAATCCATTTGGGTTCAGGGTGGGGAACGGTGGTTCACTCCTGATTTCACTGAATTACAACCCCCATCATCTCTGGCCAGGGGTCACACCAGCTGGGGCTGATGGGACTTAAGCAGACCCCAAACTGCTTAAGTTCTCACATCTGTTTTCCCTCTGGAATCTGATATGGCACACATTAAAGATAAACAATACTGCAATAGAGAATATTTTGTCTAAACATTTTCAATTTGGAACAACCAACAGGGAAAATTAGCCAAGACACGGCTGTTCCCAATTCAGCAGGGTGTCATTAACTCTGGATACTAGGATACACTTGAAAGATCAGATCAGGAGATGAAGTATCATTAGACATTAGACAACATTCAATACAGGCAAGATTGCTCTCTGCAGATGGGAATACTGCTTTTGGTTGGGCGGCACAACTTCAGAGGGCAAGGATCTCCACTGAAAGCGGCATGTATAGGGACGGCCACATATGATGCTCCCTAGACTTTCTCAGAATGAAAAGGATTGTGCGGAAGGGCACACCAGTCCACAGCAAAAGGTTGAAAACCTTACCCTTTTTCTCCCCCCCCCCTTTTTGCCCTGTAATTCCCAGAATCGCCCACCAGCCTGCGGGATTAATGGTCAAGTCAGCTGAAGGAAGAAGAAAAGTAGCCCAGGGCCGGTGGCAACAGCTCATGGCATAAAAAGCTTGTGGGTAGATCTGTTGGTCCAAGGGCAAGAGAACTTGGTGCTTTGTTGTGACCTCCTTGCCACCGGGCTCGGGGCCCTCCGCATGGGAGAGGCAGGGCCATTTCTCCAGTTCTGTAACAAACCACGAATACACAGACGGATGGCTAGACTTCAGGGCGAAAAGAGGAAGAACGACAGGAAAGGCCAGCAATGAGGTTTGCAACCGGGTGCAAAGAACCCTGGCAGATACATTGGCTTGGCACAGTTGGCAGTTCCACTGCCTTGGCACGGCTGCTGCAGAAGAGTCTTAGTTCCCTCCTTGCTTTTCAACTAAGGAGTGAAAGCATCTCTCTGTGGAGAACAGGAAGCGGGAAGGGGGGAATCTTTCCCAAATGCCAGCAGCAATTTCCAAACACTCAACACTGATAGGAGAGCAGCAAGTACTATACCCTCCCTCCCACCCTTACAAAACCGAACGGCACAAGATTACATTACAGTGTAAAAAAAAAAAAAGGAAATGGAAACACTGAAAGCGGAGTGGGGAGCAGAGCATGGCAGGGAGGGATGGCAGGAGTCTCTATTGCACTTTGTTCTCATATATACATACATATGTATAAAAAATAGGAATGGAGAAGGATGGAGCAGGAGGAGAGGAGGGAGGCCCGTCAAGCCAGTACCAACCTGCACAGAGGACTGACAGACGCACTCAGTGCTAGCTTGGCCTCCTGCTTTCCCCGTTTACCCCATCCCACCATTTCCCCAAATCCTCTGCCAGCAACCATTTGGGAACAAAGAGTCAGAGTTTTGCAGAGCATCACTGTCCACAGTCCAGAAGGGTGTACGTACTGACGTTAAGTACGGTGGAGCCAGGAAGTTGGACGTTTTTAATTGCCATGCTTGAAAGTTTCCAAAGCTTGGCTTCCTAAATATACCAGCTCCTCCAGTCCACTCCTTCTCTCCAGCCAGTCCCGAGACTGGTGTGTATGTATGTGTGTGTGTCCAGTCCCTCTACCTCTGCAGCATCGTTACACCACAGGCGGACGAGGTTGCTTCGTCTGCTTTCTTAAGGATTCCTTCTTCAAGGTTGCTCATGTGAAAATGGTGCATCTTCACAAGACTATGTTGAGTCAAGAGTTCTCCCTGTGAAGAGGAGGGAGGCACCTCGGCCCTATCCCCACGTCAGCCAAGAGGTGGGTGGGGGAGGACGCTTTCTTGATCCCCAAAATGTGCTGCCGGCTGCCCCTGCTACCTCAGACGCCCATCGGGCTTGATGGTCCCCAGTTCCGATTTTGGGTCTGGGGACAGCGAGCTCCAGGATGTCTTGCTACAAAGCTCCAGGGTGGAGCAGCTGGAAGGGCTCACTGCACAGAGGCCAGCCACTGTCCAGAAGTTGCTGATGCTGCTGTCCGTCCAGTTCTCTAGAGCCTGGCCCACCAGCTGCGCATGATGATGGGAGCCTCTCCCATTTTCCTCTAGACGGGGGAGGCTCAGGATCCCAGCCAGGCCCTGGAAATTCTGGTCCATGTATTCATTACGGGGAGGACCGGCGTGCAGCCATTTGCTGTCATCTGAGCCAGAACACAAGAAGAAAGATTAGCAGGGACACACTGGCCCTCGCACAGGCTCTCAAAAGTATGTTGGAATGTTTTGTTGTCCGGACCCTGCTTCTAGTCTCCCATCACTCCAACTCTACATCCTGAGAAAAGGGTGGAATTCATCGCCACAAACAGTGTAGCTGTCTGCCTCGCCTTCTGCCTAGAGTGCATAGGCATTCTGGCCAGTAACAGACTTACAACTTGCCTGATACTTTGGGGCAACTGTCAGGCAGTGCTAGAAGCAGCCAACCTCATACCTGTTTCTTCATGGCCACCTGCCTTGATACTTAGAGAGAGTCTAGCCCCTCCCCATCTGTTGTTGTCACTTTTTACACTCTGAAAGCCATTCAGATTCATATTTGCACTGCATATATTAGTACATCGAGGAACCAAGATTGCTCGTACATGAGAACAAGCGAAGGAGGCAGGGAGCAAGGAAGCCCAGCTAGGCTCTAGTCACAGACTTTCAAACATGCAGCTACCAACCTAACATGTGAGTGAGACAACCCTGCATTTAGAAACAAACTTATCACACAGGTGTCCTCAGTGCGGAGCGAGGATTGGCAGGGCTTCCTATGTGGCAAACCTTCTGCTTTCTGTGAAATCCTCAAGCGTACACATCATCATTTTCAATGCCAAACAGCAACTCCGCCCCACAGCTTGGCTTCCTCACCTTTCCTCAGAGGCTGCTTGTGGTTGAAGGTCTGTGGGACTACTAAGAACTGACTCTCTCCCAATGGCTCCCAAAACTGGAGGAGACGGATGGTCCACACTCCCGGACGGAGGGGTCGGTTGAGGGGCGGCTTGTACTGTGTGCACTCAGCCTCTGCATCAACTGTGATGTCATAGGACGTGGCAATGACATAGGTCGGGTCGATCCAGACAACAGTGGCTGTGAGATTGGGGCCTCGTGCCCATTTCTGCATGGCTACCGGCTCATCAAAAGGCCCAATCAAGCCACCAAAGTTGCGGAAGATCCTCTCTTTGGGATCCCATTCTGTGCCTACCTGTAGGGGGCGGGAGGGGGGGAAGAAAGGAGATCCTCAGAATTAGCAAGAATATACACCCATGACTTGGAAGGCAGTAAAACCTGCCAGTTTTGTCATGGACTCTCCCAACAGATTATGTCCTGCTGACTATAAAACCTCCCCAAAAGGTACTACATATAAATAGAAAGAATGGATTCAAAGACAATATTAATCTAAAAAGCACACTTTTATTCCACATCCCGCTAGAGAAAAAAAATTATTGTTTTAATTCAGCCATTAAATGTTTACCTAAATGGGAAGGTTCCTTATCACCTCAACACAAGATTCAAGAATTTGCCTTCTGTAAGGCTTGCTTCACATCTTCACTGGCCCCTGCAGAATATATTTTCTCTGTAGTTCTCTCCTTCACAAGCACAGGCCATTGTGTAGGCCAACCCCACAGTACACCATCCTTTTCAACACAGTGCCAGTGGAATGTGAGAGACCTGCATGACCAAGGCCACCCACAGGGTTATGGTCATGAACATAGAAAGACTGCCTCATTATTGCTTTGGGCCGTAATCCCCAAAATCCACCGAGAGGAGTCTCTCCAGGGCATGCTGGAAGTTACTGTCCAAAATTTCAAAGCTTTGGTTATGGTACTGTATCCATATTCTCCACAGCCACACTGAACATTGAACATGGAAAAGGGAGCAGTCTGTACAGAAGACCATTTCAATGCTTTGGGCCGTAATCCCCAAAATCCACCAAGAGGAGTCTCTCCAGGGCATGGTGGAAGTTATTATCCAAAATTTCAACGCTCTGGTTATGGTATTTATTTATTTATTTATTTATTTATTTATTTATTTATTTATTTATTTATTTATCTATCTATCTATCTATCTATCTATCCATATTCCCCACAGCCACACTAAACATTGAACATGGAAAAGCAGTTCCCTTGAGAATTTTATCAAGGGGGCAGCCTGTACAGAAGACCATTTCAGAAAGGATGAACTCTTATTGCTTTTCTGTGTATGTGCCCTTTTGCTTGGCACAGATTGCCTGTCAAATGGAAATCTTGAAGACGGCAAACTCTCTTGAAAATAATGGAGAAGGCAACTTTATCGTACATAAAGCTGATATACATTTACAATTACAGAAAAACTGTATGGAAAAGTAGAGATGAAACCATTCTGTTTGCACAGTCTGTCTATTATTACAGAAAGAATGGCCAGCATCCTGTTCAATATTTATAGGTGTGTGTTCCCTGTAGAGCTCAAAAGTGCTGGCTGGATAGCTCAGTGGTTTAGGTCTCTGGCCATAGAGCCAGAGGCTGGGAGTTTGATTTCTCGCTAAGCCTCCTGTGAGTAGAGCCAGCCCTGTGTGGCAAGCTGCACAGTCGCAGGGCACCCCCAAGAAGGGAACAGCAAATGACTTGGAAGTATTCTTAACCTGGAAAGCTCTGAAAAGGGTCACTATAAGTCAAAGTTGACTTGGTGACACATGATTATTATAAGACCTCAAACTGCTGAACCTGCAGCTACCAAATTTTAAAGAAAGGAATTCATGTTCTTTTTCCCCTTGAAAAAGAACTTGAATGAACTGAAATGGCCATTAACTCACAGCACTCCTTAATGTTAATGCATCTACGGTCTCTGCCTCCCATTCGTCTTTATATCAGGTTGTTTCCAAATAAGGAACTAAATTTGATTTTGCCTTTCAGACTGTACTGATGCTTATATACCACCCCCATAGTGCTTAAACCGCTCTCTGAGTGGTTTACAATTTGATTATGCAGGCTACACACTGTCTGCCTCCCCAAAAGCTGGATCCTCCATTTACTAACATCGGAAGGATGGAAGGCTACCTCAGGCCTTTGGGATTGAACTCAGGTTGTGAGCGTAGTCTTGGCTGCAGTACTGCAGTTTAACCACTGTGCCACAAGGCTCCATAACAGAGCACTCTTCCTTTCAGATGTGTTTATATTGATAGAACAGAGCAGTAGGGAGCAAGGTTGAGCAGATTTGAGAAAGGAGAGATCAGCAGCAGGGTGATGGAAAAAGGAAGCCTACCTCGAGATTCTGCAAACGGTTAGTTTGCCTGCCATGACCTGCCAGCTTCAGAGCCCCTCGAGGCATCATCCATATCTCTAAAGATTCTGCCTGCCGAGTTACAGAATTCTGCACTTCCTGAGTCACCAGATAGCCCTGGAAATGGTCATCGTAGAAATAGAGGTGCACACTGGACGGGAAGCCCTGTGGCTCAAACCTAGAGAAAGAAAAGAACAATCATGGCAAGGAGGATAACAATTTATGAAACACTTTGGACAATTCAAGGTATTTCCACAGGCACAACCTAACTGCAGTCCTTTCAGCGACCTATGGGACAGGTCAGCAAATATTACTGCCCCCCCCCACAATATGGCACTGGGGCTGAAAGAGTAGCTCCCATAACCTAGTCAGCTCAATGAGAGTCAGTCCAGGGACTTCACAATGAAATCTGATCCATGTCTACTCAGAAATAAGTCCAGCTGTGTTAAGTGGGGCTCACCCTCTGCTCACCAATCAGGAGGCCCGAAGCTTCAGTCTCTGTCGGGGAGTCAGGGGTCACAGGCTTGCCTCCTCCTATAATAACAGTCCAAGTGCCGTCAAGTCAATCCTGACTTATGGCAACCTTTGCCAGGTTTTTTTTCCAGGTGAAGAGTAATCAGGTATGGGTGTGTGCATGCTGCATTTATACAATATTTCATCTCTCCTCTGATGAGGAAGGTCACATTGTGAGAGAGCGACTGGACCAAGATCATCTCATGAGTTTAACGGCCCAGGGAAGTCCTGCATCAAGTCTCAATCCTCACTCCAAGGATTGTAAACAACGGGCTCTCTGATATTACCCATCTTCAAGGATACAGGGCCACATTCTTCCACGGGAATACAGAAGCCTTGAAAAGCTTTTTTTTAAATGGAAACTTTGGCATAGCAGATGGTACCTTTCCCTCTGAGCCCAATGACTGATGTTCAGTTCAGGAACTGAATCACAAAGTTTTACTTCACCCCAATGCTGACAGAGAGCTCCATATTTAGCAGCCTGTTGAACTACCTGCAAAGCCTCTCCTCTCTCTGCGGTGGCGTAGACATCACTTTCTGTAGCCCCAGCCTGGAGAAGGATGTGTACACAGTCAGGGTGACGTCGCTGAGCCCACTCAGCCCATCCACACGATCATAGACACTCTCCCAATAGGCCTTGAGGGCTGGTGTGTTAGGTGGGTAGTTACCATAGAGATGAGAGTCCAGGATCTCCAGGACTTCCTGGTTGATGGTGGATTCAAACTTTCTGGCAAAGAACGTGGGTCTGGAGAGTTGCTGAAAAGACACAGATAATGAGGGGTTTGGAGGGGGAGTGTTTTAGTCACAACATTTGGGCCACACCTTTAAGCTGTCAAAAACAGTTAAATTTAAGACAGTTATTAGAAACAAACAATCAAAAGGACCCAAGAAAAGAAAACTCTTCAGCACTGCTCAGAAAGTTCCACTGACATTACAGAAGAGAAAATGAAATGAATACAACCATTATAGGACACACCCCATCTGTTGTTATTCCAGCTTGGAAAAGTTATCCTTTCGGACCACAACTCCCAGAAATGTCACGGTGTGGTCATGCTTACCAGAGGATTCTGGAAGATATTGTCCAAAACCCTTCCTAGCCTCTTTTGGTCACCATTTGAGGTCCTAGAAATTCCTGTTTGGGAGACCCAGGCAAAGCGATTAAGGGAAAAAAACACACCTTTGGACAGGAGCAAGGAACCAATTCCCAGCAAGTAGCTGCTGTTACACAGTGTAAGTATCAACCTGAGCCTCATGAACTGTCAGAAATATATATGTGTCACTGAATCAACTATAAGGTCATTCCCCAGGCTTAATCATATTAAACACAGTTCTTGAAAGCTACAGAATGCTGCATGAATGTCGTGCTCCTAATACAAAGCAATTCTCATAAAACAGTGTCAGAAGCTCTCTTGGAAGAGCATTTTTAACAAGTCAGCATAGCTTCCAAACTCTTGTGAACAGAATGACTTTTACATCAATTATCCAGGTCACTAGGGTTTGCTCTGTAAACCATTTCATTGTCCTGAGAATCTTTGCTCAGTTCTGAGAAGACACGGAATGGAAGGAGCTGTTCCTGGCAGCCTGAACAGAAGCATCCTCAGAAAGCAGAGCCAACTGATTTACATGGCCTCAGATGACTTCCCCTGGATCAAGACCTCTTTTCTTGTACATCCTGTCTCCTTGCACCAAGCCAATCCTGGTTTCTTCTGCCTGCACTCAAAGAGCCACACTTTTAACTCCCTCCACTGGTTTCCTCTCAAGAATTCTATAAAATTTCAGGCTTGAAGTCCTCATCTTGAATCCTCATCTTTCAACCAGGTCTCAGTTCCCTTTTCCTCTCACACCCTAACCCCAAGTCCTCTTTCTATCAGCTCCTAACAACTCCTTCCCTCCATGGTCATCTTAGCACTTCCTGTCATGCTGCTTCCTACCTGGACCAGGGCAGGGGCAAAGGATGGGTGGCCCTCCTGATGCTGCTGGACTGCAACTCCCAGCTGCCCTAGCCGGCAGAGTCCTAGGTCACTGGTTCTTAACCTTGGGTTACTCAGGAGTTTTGGACTGCAACTCCCAGAAGCCTTCACCACCAGCTGTCCTGACTGGGGTTTCTGGGAGTTGCAGTTCAAAAGCATCCGAGTAACAAAGGTTAAGAACCACTGTCCTAGGTGAAGGCTGATGGGAGCTGCAGTCCAAGGATCCTGGGAAGGCGACCTATTTCCCATCTCTGTAGAAGCCCCAGGGAAGGCTCCTGTGGTCCATATAATAACCAGGCTAAGAGTGGGGCGGATCCTTCTTCCAGGGCAGTATAATTTCTCTTAATGAAGACATTTTCAAAGAGGTAGCCATATTAGTCTTTTTCAACAACAACATCATCATCATCATCAAAGCCAAATATAAAAACGGGTATTGTGATCAACAACAACATCATCATCATCATCATCGCCAAATATAAAAATGGGTATTGTGATACCTGAAAGCCCAACAGATTTATTTCAGTATGACCTTCCATGGCTGAGTAAGTGGACAGTAGTCAATAAAAGCTTACACCCAAATAAATCTGTTAATCTTCAAAGGGTCACAGCACTTTGGTTTTTACATTTTTTGTTGTGTTTTTTGTTACACATCTCAGCAGAGCCCATGGCATGTAAGAAACCAATACAGTGGAGGAAAGGGGCGACCGATTAGATCCCGAGAGGAGGAAAAGAGCCAAACTGTGGAGTTGAAAAGGAGGAAAGCCTGGAGCACCTGCAGTCGCAGGAAGTCCTGCGGTTTGAAGTCATTGGGCGAGCAGCCACACCAGTCGACAATGTGCTTATACTGACATTTGCAGCCCAGCTTGCGGTTCCAGTTTGTCACCCGGAGGTTGTTGTCTACGAGGGTCTCACAGGCATGGCTGTTCTCCAGGACGGTATGAAAAAAAGACTGTATGCAGGGAGAGAAAAAAAGGAAAGCACATGAAAGTCAGGGTGAGCAACATGGCAGCCCCCTCCCTATGAGCAAAGCACTGCCATCGACACCCAAAGTACACCTTGTTGTAGCCACTGACCATCATCATTTAAAGTGCAGACTGGGGTGTGAGGGAGGGTAGAGATGCTGTGCATTCTGCAAACACTGGCACACTCTGTAATAAGAAAAGCCATGGCAGCTTGTCTGAGATGCGTCATTCGGTCTGCGCAGTTCAGCCTAAAGCCGAGTTACAAAAGGGGACTTTCGCCCTTCTCCAGCACTTTCCAGTTGCTAAAAACGTGCCCACATTTGACAGTTACAAGGAAATGATCGTTCTTATTTGGCTACATCAGGGTGCGCCACTAGAGGGGGGGGCAGGGGCCTTGAATGAATGACACGCACAATTAAGGATTTGCAGACTCCTCTGCTATGCACACAGCTTCTTTAGCTGACCAGATAAACAGATGATAATGGTCCACAGCCATAGCAAGTTTGAAAACAATTCTCCTGTTTCTTCATCTACTACGCTGATACTGTATTCTTCCTCCCCAAGAAACTCCGAGCACTGCACATTTTCATCATCTCAAGGACCCTGTGTAGTAGGACGGGATGAGGCTGGTGCCAGGATAGCCAGGGCGGAGTCGGGATTGGACTCTGGATCTCTCCCCTCTCCCCTCGATTCTTCCTCCCCAAGAAACTCCGAGCACTACACATTTTCATCATCGCAAGGACCCTGTGTAGTAGGACGGGATGAAGCTGGCGCCAGGATAGCCAGGGGGGAGTCGGGATTGGACTCTGAATCTCTCCCCTCTGCATTCCAGCATCCTAGCCTAGGACTGCAGAGCCTGTGGTCCTCCAGATGCTGAGTTCCATCAGTCCCATTCGGGCAGGCTATCTATAAACAGATGGTGTTTCTTTATGTTGTTCATCAACACCTGGAGTCATAGGAGCAGTGGTAGCTGCAGGAGCAGTAACAGTATTATTAGCGGTCTATCAATATCTGGAGTCTCCAAGTTCCCCATCCATACTCTAGCCATCCACCCAAAAAAACACCCTATGATTTAGAGACGCAAATCCTTGCTTGTCTTGTTCTTGTGAGAGGGAATAAGAAGTATCAACACTTCTTCCTCAACCGTGAGATGGCAAAGGGTGTGGGGTTTTTTTTGCGCTCTCTCTCTCTCTCTCTCTCTCTGTGGAGTGGGAGTTGTTCCTGTGGCTCATTTGCATATCAGGAGAACAATGCTGATGCAAATAGTTGTTCCTGTGGCTCATTTGCATATCAGAACAATGTTGATGCAAACGGCATAACTGCACTAAACTACGTACAGCTGCTGCTTTACAGCTGCTGTGTTGTTTGCATCTTTTTTGAGCTGTTCACTTGTCTTTCTCTGCTTGTTGCCTCTGTTCGCTTAGCTTTACAAAGAGGAAAGACATTGTTTTTTCACAGATGATCTGTGCAAAATGCAGAAACCTCCAAAAAAGGTGCTTGTTTTCTGGGTCTTGTGCTAGAAAAGAGATCTGATGAATTCTTGACACATGGTCCCTCAATGTGCTGAGATGGTATGTCTTGAAAAGAAAGAGAAAACTAGCAACAAACAGCAACAGAGCATGGACAGAGTTCCAACTCCTGTCCTCTGAAGATGCCAGCCACAGAGACTGGCGAAACGTCAGGAAGAACAACCTTCAGAACACGGCCAAGGAGCCTGAAAAACCCACAACAACGAAAACTAGCAAGACTTTCACATTCCTACTACATTCACTTGTGAGTGTGAATAAGGAACATGAGAATAATAAAATTACTAAGGAAATTGTTGTTATTCAATCTAAATCAGAGTTGAAATCGGCATCAAAATGTTATTAAAAAAACATTAATATGGATATTTTAAGACTTCTGGAAAATTCTCCCCATCATCTCTCTCCTTTCCCACTAAATCATAATGTGAATATTGTTTTATGCTCCCCCTTTCAGAATTTCCTCCTAGAAAGGAAGAATAAAAGAAAATTATATCTATAAATTGCATCATGAATATTGCCACCACATTGTGGAAACTCCTAATTTTTTAGACTGCTTTCCCACTGTTGAGAAAGCTAATTTCTTTTCTTTTCTTTACATGCATGAAAGCAAACATCTGGGAAAATGCGTCTCCGCTATGTTCCCTCAAATAGCTCTTAAGAATTTGCCAAACAAACTTAATCAGGCTACGGTTGCTTTCGAAGGGCAGCAATTGCAAAACCAACATCTGTTCATGCCCGCTGCTCCATAACAAATCAACCCTGGTATCTGTGCAGAGCAGGTGCAAAGAAACATCAGAGGGAATGTTTAAAAAAGTTTCCTTGTGAGTTCCTTCCTACCGAGAAACTAGACAAGCCTGAATATTAAATTGCTGCTTAGAAAATCAATAATAAAACAAAGCTGGCTGACAATAGCTGGCTTTGCTTTGTTGCGCATTTCCTACTAACTCATAAGGAGACTGCAATTAATATTTCTCCCTAGGCATCACACATATTGATATTGTAGAAAGTATAAGAAGGCAGCTGCTGGACTTTGGTAGCAATAAAATCAAGGGACCTTTCATTCCAAACCAAAACACTCCCCAGGACACCAAGGGTGTCTCCCATGAACCAGCCAACTTACCTCTGCTGGGAGAAGCGTGTAGGTGTAGAACTGCCGCAGCTGGGAGACCAGTCGATCACTGGTGTAGACCACATATTCCACAAAGCTACGTGTGAGGGCGAACCAATCTGAGCCACCATCCACCACAATGCCCTCAGGGATCTGCCGTTCACCCAGTCGCCACATATGAGTGTCACATTCATGAAAAAGCCTGTCTAGGCCCTGCTTCTTGATGAACCTGTGCAGAGACGAATTGTCCAGATTCATTAGAAAGCAAAGGACTTTTCCTACATTAAAATCACAGGAGGAAGCATTCTGGAAAGCTGCTCTCTTGACTGTCAAAACTCCAACATCGTATGTACAGATTACAGGCAGAAGAATTTCACTGTACACATCAGGCTTGGATGCTCCATTTTTCTTTGTATAAGATGCTACTTTTTCCTATAATTATTACACTAAAAATTGAGGGGAATCTTTTACACAGAAGTAAGCTGAGTTAGCTGAGGAGAGAACAAAATGCCATGTACCTTGCCTCTGTAAACAGGCTTCCTTCAGCCACGAAGCTTAGTTTTCTACAGTCACAAGCCTTATGGAACTTATGTCAGCTGATGCGGAACAAGCCAATTGGAATTGGAGATGGAGCCTGTAGGCTCAGATGCAACAGGAGCTCAAAATGCCTGACTGTTCTGAGCCCAGAGGCTCAATTCTCAAAGCCAAGTTTTCTTATTTTTGGAGTTAGAAGGGGGGGCAGTCTTATAAATG